AAGTGACATTTTGCCTTAATGAGAATAAATGATTTAAACTGATGAAGGAGAGGAACCAAACTTGTACTGACACTAATCAACGCATGCACTGGGATCAACTCGGAACTATCGGAATGCCTGAAGTACTGCGAGAGGTACTTATGAATGCTACAATTTTTTAAATAAGTTTTATTCTTCTCGTTCGTTGTGTATGTTTTATTCTAGTTTTATTATTTCATCGTTTATTTTATTATTGTTCCCAGCTACTCTATTTTTTTGTTCCAACCGTTGTGACTGTAAATAAATAAATAAATAAACTGTTTAGACGGTTAAAGAGTTGATCCACGACTTGAGCCTTGTTCCACGACGCTGGTCTTTTAGTCGAGTTGTGAATATTTAGAAGTTCTCGCTCGCTCGCTCGAAGGGAGAGAGGACTACTGAATATTCGCTACGTTGGTGCGTAGTGTGAACAAGACATTAGTGCATGCGTGGAAGGATTAATGTCAGACTGTCAGTAAAAGTTAACTGAATCCTATTTCTATGCATGTATGTATTGTTGTGTGTAGTAGGTACCTACCTAAGATGCGCCTTATAGTAATTAAAACTACTTAATGATTTTTCATACATTTTAACTCGTCGAGTACCGGTTTTGTAGACACAATTATAGAACAATAGGTTGCGGTCACCGGTGACCGCTTGGTATTTGACAGTTTAACAAATAAATGGCAATTGATTGACAACACTAAGGTGAAATCCACAAAGAAACTATTACAAACTACAATTTCTCAGAATCCAAAAGTAATTTTAAACGTTTTTCTCAGCAAAGAGAATGTAATCGACGAGTTAACATCGATATAATGTCTTAAGAACGTGTTTCTAGATAGTTAGACGACTTCCTTAACATTAATTAAGGCATGTAGCCATTGTGAAAGTTTATGAATATACAACATTAAAACTACTAGTCGACTTTTATAACTGTACACAGTTATGATGTCGCCATAAGATAGGTATCTAATAAATTCAATTTTCTGATTGGTAGGGTTACACGAAATTGGCCCTATTGGGCCCTCAAATATCACGCTAAGCTCATTATTAGTTCTATTTTAATAAAAGATCATCCAAATTCAGTAAATACAGAGTATCCATGCGTAAGTACTCAATAGAAGTTCCAATTTCAAATTCTTGTAACATTTTGCAAGACTAGCTAGTTTACATAATATGATAAACTCCAACAAGTAAGAATGAATTGAAAATCAGATAAATAATACTTCATAATAACGTAGGTAACAGGCTAAAACTGGATAAAAGGTGTACATACTAGTTCAATCAATAGAACAGAAATTTCAATATAATAATATGGTTTTTGACATAATTTTATTAAAAAATGTCAGTCTAAAATCCTAATAGGGTCCCTACCTATTGGATTTTCTAATACTATAAACAGACTATTTCGTTTGTAGCCACAGAGCTTCTTAGTTTTTTCAGAACACTTTCATAATGTAATATTGTATTGCGGCATAGACCAGACCTACCGCAGTTAAAAAAAGTTTAACTTTTATTTATATTTCTAACGCATAGGGCCATAGGGGATACGGGTAATCTGTATTGCGGTTAAAAAACCAACCAACAGCGAATTATAATCTGCTGCAAAGTTGCTAGACGGTTTTCTATTGGTTGTTGCGTACTTCAAAATATTTATGGCCGACGATACGTAATTGAAAACGAACTAGTAAGTTTTTAATGTGGCGTAGACCATTTTCCCGCGTAAACGTGTTGTTCAAACAGCTTTTGTATATAGTTAAAATAATAGTTATCTATTATTTATGATATTTCCGACATTTTATAAAGAAAATAATTTAGTTTTCTTGCATGTCATTATGACAGTTTGCTTTTTCTAACCACAAAACTAGCTCATTAATAATAGTCAAACGAAAAATAAACGATTTATATTTTAAATAGGTACTCTAAAAAATTATGACAGAAAAAAAACTATTTTTATAAAACTTATATCATAAATGTATTTGACTATTAAACGGTAATCAGCAGAGTGAAAAAATCCGATGTTTATATACCTATTAATTTCAGCTATATCAAAACGACGTATAAATTAAAGACAGGTGCAATAAGTATTCACGTCCAAAAATAATATTATTTAAAAAATAATCTAAGGCACTAATTAGTCTTAAATATTGTATATTTTCATAATCTAATATGTAATTAAATACCATTAAAACATGTTTATTATAAGTAGGTAGGCAATAATATCGTAACAAAATTAAAACGTACCTATTTCCACATTTCCTTTATTTGCATATGGCAATACTCAACAGCTTTACTCAAGCTACCGAGTAAAACAATTTATCTACCAATGCACAACAAATTTTATAGATGGCAACTCACCGCTAACAAGTACTAAACAACAGATACTATAACATAATTGCAAAACTTTTATTGTTATTTCTTAGTATTCAGAAATAAATACACATTCTGCCTACACGCAACTCATTACCTTTCTTGGCCCCTTTTACAGCATACGTCATTAAGAAATTCCATTTTACATTTTTACAATCCATAATTGTAGATTATAAAACTGCAAGCCGGGTTATGGCGGGCCCCAGTGAGCAATGGCGGCTTCGCAAATAGTTGCCAGTCTAATTTTCAAACGATATTTCATAAATATTATACCCGTTTCTGAGTTGCCAGACGCTAATATCTTATTTTGTTTTACAATTTGTTCCAATTATTTCACTTTAAATGTTATTTAGGTGTTGTTAATGGTTTTGTTTTATTATTTTAGTTCATCCCTTTTCTATAATTTACGAGAATGTTTTATGTGTGTTCATTTAAATGTTCTTTGTGTGTAATACATCATTTTGTAAAACAACTATGTGTTTATGCTTTCAAAGACGATAGGGATGCACAAAAATTAAAATGTAGCTACGATAATAGTCTACCATTATAAAATAAGACGCAACACCTAGATTCAATTTTAGAATAAATCTTTTGGGAACAAAGTGTTGTAACCTCCTTTAGAAAAATTTGAATGTTTCGAATTTCTGTTATTTTTTCTAACAGGGTAAAACCTTCAAAAAGGGCTTAGCATCTCTAAAGGTTTATTTTATTTTATACATTACAAAACTACTAACAAGGAGTTCTCATATACACAAATAACTTAAGTTGCAACTAAAGACCTACACTGCACATAAATATGAATCACAGCGCGCACTTAAAACGGATCGTAAAGAAATCATCAAACTAATTCATATGAATGATAAGTACTGCTCCTGGCTATTTTAAACACATGACATAATACAATGTACGGAATAAAATCCCTAGTTACTAGTAAGAGGAATCTAGCCATAGGTAAAGCTTTCTTTCAGAGAAGTCTCACAATATGTTCATCAACCACCAGGCCCGAAATTCATATTGTTAATCAAAGTATAACAGATGACGCATATAGACGATCGACGAGTAAATCAAAGGCATCACACTACATCGCATTTTTCTTTTTTTTTAAGGGGGGAAAATCATCGAATGACTGCTCCCGCCTGGGTGAGGCGTGAGGGAGTGTCAGAGTCTTACTGACTAAAAACCACCCCGTTCCTTCTGCTGCACGTCGACCCGGAGCCCCGATAACCCGTTAGGTTCTCCGCGACAAATTCTACATCGCTTACGTTAAATTTACATGCGAAACATGGATAGAAAATCCCAACGAACAACTGAAGGCCAGACAGCCCGCCAGGCATATCAACTCGCCTGGTCGGAGGAACCTCATTTTTTTAAGAAAATTTATTCACTGTTCCGTAAACTTTCTACTTCGCTATTTAGAATTTTGCAGCCGATTATCCTAACATACGTAACTTGTAAGATTTTCTTTCTATCCATAATAATACTTTTGATGATGACGAATTATTTAACACTATAACTGCCAAGTATAGATAAAATGGTGAAACTCTTACCTCCTACTAGCGTCAGGCATGATGACTGACGTAGCACTTTAAGGGTTAAGGACTAAGCGGCTAATGCTGACCCGTACAAGCATACAGGCTCCTTTTTTCCGTTCATCAAGGAGACAAAAAGCAAGTTCTTTATAATTATACATAATCTGATGTACTCAGCAATACTACTCTATTTTTAGTAAGACCACCTTTGGTGCAAAAGGTTTTAAGATATTTTATATCTAAATAGACATAATAGTAATTATCATATCTACTCATTAAATATCGATTAATTGGGTTTAAATAAATTAGTGATGTTGGATAATCGATAAACAGTTATCGATACTGCTACATGGTAATGAAATAGGCAGATGTCAACATTTTAGTTAAGTTTATAAATAAAAATTAAGACGCTCTAAGGCGCCAATAAAAGAAATATAATTATTTAACAAAAATAGCAAAATGTGTGGACAAAGTAATAATTTTACAGTACCTATTACAACCGTATAAAATTTAAAATGCTACAAAAAACGGATTAACACGAATTCAGTAGCATTAAATTAAAAGGATGTTTTGTCTCATACAAAAAATAACTCTATTATGTCCTATAATAGCGTACAAATTAAACCCGATGAGTTTTAATGAACAGAAAATAACGTAAAAACTTAGATAAAGACAAGAAATAGCATGCATTCCTCCGGTTTGTAAAAGCAATAAAATATAAATAAATTCCGTCGCATCGCAAATTGTCTTATTTCATAAATAGCATTTTATTTTATGTGTACGTTGTAACATAAAATTCTACTTATGAATATGAGCAGTAAACAAGTACTTGGAACAAACAGATTTACACACACACTAACGCTTTCCAGTAGTAACACAAAGAAGACGAGACGACAAACAAACGTCTCAGAAATGCAACATAATACAAATCTATCGGCAACTAATATTTGTATACAATTGAAAAGCGTTTGTGTAATTCTTAAATAATAAAACAACTCAATGGACACTTTTAAAATAATTGAAATTCTATGATGTTGCAATGTCCATTGAATTGCTAATAACAATATTAAATAAACTCACCGACACACCGGAGGTAGCCACAGTAAAGTCCGTTGTCGTTCGCAACACAGCATCGCACAGCAAGCGTCCACACAAAACACGGCACTTGTAAAACAAAGTATCATTCGCAAAATAACTTCATCGACGACGATAGTACACCACTTATATTATTAATTTCCGCCATTTTCCTACAAAAAAGAAAATAATTCTAAATAAAATATCGACACTAACACAGCACCACGACGGCCGTTAAATTCGAATTTTTAAATTGGAATGTCACTGAGGTTGCATTTCGAATTTCACCACCTTCGTCCGGTCACTGTAAAGTTGAAATCACGACTGGTTAGACTTTGTTAATACAGCTGATTCTGACTTAACCACTTTATCGTGTGCAACAATTTTGTTGTGTCACTTGTGTGTGTGGAACGTGTAACATGTAGACGAAACTCAAGTTGCAATGTAGCACAATGTATGGCCAAGAATTGTTGATTACGTTCGAGAATCCGTCACCGTTGTGTCGTTACGTCATGGTTGCTGTTGTACGTATAAAATGTAAATGAATGAAACACGTTTGCCAACTTCAACATAGGAAGAAAGAAATCACGACTAATCCCATACATTACATTTCACGAATAGGTACATCGTTCAACAAATAAAAAAATACTCCAACCATCGTTCTAAAATTACCACCTCGATATTAAAGTACAAATACCCAATACAATAAGTAAATTAATTACACGGTATTCGCAACCACAAATAAGTGCATCGGTCACAAATATCGGTAATTATATCGATACAATTGCAATGTTTCCGACATCCCTATAGACATATTGTAGAACGACGGAAATACAGGAATGCGTGTGGCCATTACGAAAGCGGAAAAGTCAAATGACAATATAAATAGCTATTGAGCCATCAATATATTTATGAAAATAGCAGAAATTGAATTTATCCAGCTTATTTAAACGAGTCAATATAGATTCTATGTATACCTGTACTAAACGTATGAAGTTATGTTTTTCTATTTCGACGTAGTAACAAAATTAAAAAGACGATCAGCTGATATTTTAATTTTTTATTCTGTTATTGCGACAAAGAGTCTAGAGCTATTGTCGCTTTGTTTCAATAATGAGTAAATTGATTTAAAAATATACGAACATGGTTTGGACTGTTGAACAGAGACAGTCATTAAAAAGTTCAATTTTAAAACAAAGAAATATTTTTAACTCGACAACGTTAAATACGGTTGTCGTGCTAAATTCTTGTTTAACAGATATGACATGACATTGTAAGTACTAAAGATATAATTAGCATCTGAATTATTAACGAACTCATTTAGTACGTTGATTTATATATTTTTTCAACTTCTTTCAACGAGTTAATTCTGAGTATTAACATTTTAAAGCTTTGCTTATAAATACGTGTGATAAGCTTTGATGCAGCTTGGCATTAACCACCATACAACATTTCAGATCAATTATTTCAAGATATCTGCTTCAAAATTAGTTGCAAGATTCCATTTCACACACATACGTGGCCCGTTAAATAAACGCTTGTAATATAACTCCGCGTTTAGTGGCCACACCAATAAAAAAAATGTTTTGTCCCAATTAAATAATAACTTCAAACACAAATGGTTATGCAATTACAATTTTATACAATTAAGACAATCGAATGATATTCCTAGGTTTTTTTAATAATAAATTTGTAATTCGAAGGTTTCGTTTATTATTAGAGCGTTTTTTAACAATAAATAATAATGGTACTATTGTGTTTATTTTTAGTCTACGACAATTACAACCCATCTGTTGGTGAGGTAACATTGTACAGGAATTGATATTGTGACCATAATATTATATTATTAATTCGCTTTTGCAATTATTATTTCAGTTCTTATTGCTTCGTTGGCGAGATGGTCGCAAGTGCGACTCCCGAGCATGTATTGTAGTCTGGGGTTCGAATTGCCTGGAATTGTGTCTGGTTTATGGCAATAGGCTCACCCAGAGATTCGTTGCTGGAAAGTAGTACTTAACTTAGTTAAATTGACTAAATTCTTTGAAATGAGAAATCAACCAAGCAATCTAAATATGTTGGCTATCGTCCAATCGTGATGAAGACGTCTAACAAAATGTCTGCGCCGGCGCATCGTTATGCCTTTCTGGGAAATATCGTAAAACTCTTGCGCATGTCATATGTAGGTATATGTATATCTGGCTGGCATTAGAATGTGCAGACAAGCCAATGTTAGTAGATTTTCGACTTTACTTTTATTTATATAGAGTGGAAAATCACTTGAACGTCTATTGAAACAAGACTTTAATTATAAGTACAATTTCAATATAAGGAAATGACTGTCTCGACAAGTTGTAGGGCTTGAAATTCCACGTTGGACTCCCAGGTCAGGCAAAGTACATCATAACATAACATCACTCTTTTTATCCCCGTAGGGATAGGAAGAGGTGCACGCTATGGGGACTTAATGCCACCGTACAATGTAACACCCACATTTCACTATTTATGTTATGAGTCCCATATAATATGGGGTGAGCCTATTACCATATACCCGACACAATTCCAGACTCTGTACTACTGCTGAGATTTTTATAAAACTCAGTAATACTTTACCCGACCTGGGAATCGAACCCGAGACCCTTGCCTTTAAAAGAGTATTTCTGACGTGACCTACATTCGATATCAAAGCCAAAAATATAGTTTTTAGAATTGTTGTCTGTTTGTCTGTATGTATGTTCAGGCTAAACTAAAAAAGTACTGTAGTTTACGAAAGCAAGGCCTAATAAAATGTCTATAAGATACAAGAGGCTCACATCAAGCTATGCTTAACCAGAATAAACTGACCGCCGAACGTACGGCAAGACCATACACAGCTAGACCATGACCAACTGGTTTAATACAAATCCAGTATAAACTGACCTTCTAGTGTACGAAAGGATGATGAAAACCGAGACCATGATATACTGGTTTTCTATAACTATTTGTCCGTATCTACCACAGATGCAGTATCATTTGTCCTAAAGGCATTTGTCGGTCCAGATTGCAATTTGTTTGTTTTGTACTGGACATTAAACATAGATTACACATAATTTAGCTTTCTAGACAAATTACTAGGTATCATTGTGACTTGAGCAAATGGACCCATTTTTCACCAGTTTAGTTGCAATTACTTTGTAATACCAAATCCAGTTTGAAACGCCTGGGTGTCTTTTACTAAATCTCAGCATAACAAAGTCTTTGTTCTTTGTCTTTCTTTGTTTATTGCTGGAAACTGTTGAAGGCTAATTTTCAACTAACGTCAGTCACCGGTGCGTTACTGACCCCCGTAGCGGTTAAGGTGTTAAATACAAAACACTGAATAAATATGCCACGTAATAGACATAGACAAAGACGGACCTAGAGTGTGTCCTAGGTAAGCACCGCATATAATAATAATAAAGCCCTTTTATTCCGAACTTTTACAGTGTTTGGTTTATAAAATAAAATGTCCCTCAGTTCGGTGTGTCTTTTGACATAGGCCTCCTCCAGCTGCTTCCATTGCACTCTGTCTATTGCGACTCTGGTCCATAAAGGTCCCAACCACCACATATACGCCTCTAATTTTTTGGCACATGGCGCTCTTTTGTAACTGGTATAATTTGGCGGGGGGATCATTCAATGACTTCTTACCGCCTTGGGTGCGAGTAGAGGGTGTTTCAGTCTTGTACTGACTAAAAATCACCCCGTTCCAACTCCTACTCTTCGAGCTGGAGCCAAGGCAACTTGTTAAGTCCTACACGACTCCGTATCGGGTACTAGCCCTACTGGACCGCATCTGTGGTGGTCTAACGGCTCATTGATACCCTAGGCACTTGCCTAATTTGCCTTAGGATTAATATTTAATATATAATATAATTAATATACGGATTAATACGACATATAACTATTAATTTTAAATATACGTACTAACAAAAAACCATGACACTTAATCTGTAAATTAATGAAACACTTGCAACTTCAGTTTCGTTCAAATCCTAATGAGTGTTTCGAAAACAAACGAAGTTCGGTTTCCATTGCACAGTGACTATGATTTAATAAAATCTTTCAATAATATCTTTGAACAAAACCAGCAATAGAAATGTAACTACGTCATAATTTCGATGTGAGTTAGTGTTTTGTTTTTATTGTATGCATACAGAAGAATTATTCTAGTTTACGCATAAAATGGAGATTTCAGATCGTATGTTTAGTACCTAACCTTGAAACATATTTATTCAATTACTAAACCTTCTTTTCAAAATCGGCATTATACATATATCTTTATGTTTCTATCGACGTATAGGTTATCTGAGAAACGTTATTCTTGGCAAGTATTTTTATTACTTAAAATAATACTGAAGTAGTTATAAATCTAACTGGAAGACATTCTAACTAATAATTTAATTGCAAACGCTTGTCTGACATTGTACCTATACCTAGATTACTTTTTTTCTTATATTACACTTGTAATAGTTAAAAGAAATAGTTGAGACATGAAGTAGGTACTACAATTTTCCGATTCTTAAAGTAGAAACTCAAACTCACTTTCAACGTCAACAATTATAAAATAAATAGGTAGGATAGCCTGTCAGTCGGTCCGTCAATGAAACTAGGTGCTGTTCCCAAAATGTAGATTCGAGTGGAAAAAACGAGCAAGAAACTCCAATCGTTACTCTTTTAGAGATGTACTTATCTACTTCGCAATGTAATGCCAGAATAGAACTACAAATTGGGTCAAATAAAAACTATAACAACTACAATTTATAGAGGTAGTTAACGATACAACTTTCGATAGTATCTTGAATTCATTTAAAAAGGCGCTAAAGATGTAATTAAACAATTAATTTTTGCACGACATTTAAAAATTAATCTTATCGATTCAACTAAATTCTACGACGACGAATTAACTAACTTGCAATAACAAAATTGTTTAATACGTAAACCGGACCATAGATACTAATTGTGAATTTAGTTGCATCGTCACAACACTATCATGAAAAATACACTTTATGAGCAAAGAAACAGCCAGTGTTTTTTCTTTTTGTTGTAAGTATTTTCTTGGATTGGTACCGTATGTTGCATAAAAGGTAATATAGTACCTTTAAAATGAGAGTATTTCGTTGTAAAAGGATTTTTTTTAAGTTATAGAAGTTTCGATAGGGAGAGCCATGCTTCGGCACGAATGAGCCGGCTCGACCGGAATGCTACCACGGCCTCAAAGAAAACCGACGTGTAAACTCGCGTTGTGTTTCGTCGTGTTAGCCCTAATGATGAGGCCTAATCAACCCGCCCTCTCTCCCGAGTCTCTTCAATCCCCAAATCCTTCACAATCCTAATATACCCGATTCCTAAAAGGCCGGTGATGGACTTGTAACGCCTTGATGTTCCAGGTGTCTATGGGCGGCGGCGATTGCTTACCATCAGTTGATCCGTCTGCTCGTTAGTGGTGCTCGTCGTCGGCTCTGTTTCTTTGCTCCATAACGACTTCATGAGTTGACATTAAGTCTGATTGTAAACATGTCCAATTAGTGTCCATGTCATTGTATGACTTATGCTCTTCTATTTAAGGTATAATTTATTGAGTAGCAGAACGATAAATTTGGTTAAGATGTCGTTAATCAACACAACATACGAAATAATATGCATACTTTTTGATATATTACTCTTTAAGAATGTCATTGCAAAAAGCCTGAGGGCTGAAGCCATAAAGGAATCAATTTAAAAAAATGTTTAAACAATTTCGTAGTAATTCGTAGTACAAAATTCGGACACCACCATTTTTGGCCAAACAAGAGACAAGTACAGTTGTAGATATCATTAGTACGAATGAATTTTAATTAATGTAAACAGTTTAAAAGTAGCTCTTAATATGAAAATTGTGACAACAATTTGTGTCTATTAGAATTTGAAGCTCACTCAACCATTTTAATGGATCCCAAGACAATAATATTAATTCTCTTCACACGACAGCTAAGTACTATGCATTCATATACTCGTACATTCTAAACACTAAAGAACAAATCACGCTATTTTCAAATCTGTAACGATCTTCATTTGTTAGCTAATACGACACGATACAGAGTACCTATTATTAGTCCCTAATACTGTTATTGTAACGTAATATATTAACCCAATAACTTAGACTAATGTACGTAAGGAATCGCAATAGAACAACGAACAACGCAATTGTTTAAATGATTGAATTATCGTCGCTTGTGCAACTTTGTTTAGTTTATAAAGCTAAATATGTTTGTAATTTGATCTAGTTTTTTTATGTTTATCAATACAAATACATTTTGTCCTTTTATACTTCTAGTTATTTTTTATTTGCTTTTCGCGAGAAGATTGATAGGAAATCATCCATTTTAATTTGTTCTGTATTTAATTGCGAATGCATGTAAGTACCTAATTCTTGTGTAATGATTGTAATGAGTAATGTGTTGTGTAGGTAGACAGTTTGTGTAACTGTAAAGTGTTGTGTAATCTATGTATACGACTATGCGCTGTGAAATGCATAGATGACAACCTTCATTCTTGTAAAAAAAAACTATTTCTAGACCTAAATAGCTGGCCGAAAAGAAATGAATTTAAAAAAGGAACAAGAAAAAAGTTTGTCACAGCCCTACACCTGTCACTGTCAAAGTGTTAGCACCGTTTCAGTGTTGTTTGTGGTAAAAACTATTTATTACTATTAATGTCCGTACTGGCGTGTCGAGTTCCTCAGCTCTAACCCGTCGAACACGTTCAGATTATTCTTCCTCGCGTATTCGTTGATTATCATCTTTCCTGAGGACAAACAATGCGCAAATTGGACAATCGCTTGGCGGGAGAAAAAAAACTGCATTGAACCATTGACAAATTCAAGATGGCCGTTACGTTTTATTTTTATTTGAATTAGAATTTCATTTGTTTTCTGTTTAACTTTCATCAATATAAGGTATTAAAATGCAGTTTCTTTATTTAATTTTATAAAATACTATTATGAAAACCTTTTGTTGGTATAATTACAATAATTTGCATATTCCAAGTTTTATTGTACAGAGAAGGAAACAAATAAAGACAGAGGACTAATTAATAAATAATTAGAATTATTTAAGTACTTTCAATCAATTTAGACCAAGTATTAAACGAAAATCGATTTCAATGAACACAACAAGAGGTTCCCAGTACACATATTCGCGTTGCGAAAAAAAAAAAGTATTCAAGTCAATAAGAAGTAATTTCACCACTCAATTGAATTGTCTACTTTTAACTGTCAAGACAACACCTTTCATATAGTTAATTTAATTTTTTCGTCTTGAATGTTAATTTAATAGATTATTATGAAGGCACTAAGTTGACAGACTGATGACAAATTGATTGATAAAACTGTCATGACAGCTGATATAATCAAATTCTTGACAATTTTTTAACTCTATTCCGAGTTTATGGTACAAAAATGATGACGTCATTAAATACCTACGTGAACATACTACATTTTGAGAAAGCAGAATAAAGCTATAAAGGTGTTGTCTTAACATGTATGTATTAGGTACAGTGTACTAGCACTTTCCAATTAAAAAAAACTAGTAAAACTAAAAAAAAATGCACACAGTACGCCAAGAATTATTCTTTTGCCCTGGTACAAAATTCTTAACGAATTTACATCGCTACGTATCATACGAATCTACATATATTTTGTCTCTTTTTTTACTTCTATTATTCAGAAAGTTAATTTAAAATTTATTCATCGAATAATTTATGTTTTTAGGCCATTGAAATGCGCAATAAATTATACACAAGTTGGTAATTGAGAGAGGTAACGAAATAAATACAAAAATATTGTATTTAAATGAAATATTTTATATGTAAATCGACGCGTTAATTTCTCTGTGTATGATTGGTAGTGTAATAATTCATCTGGACAAATATTATACCTAGATAGAAATATTTAATAAATATGAGACTACATGTCTACTGTCACTTCTGTATTGGAATAGCAGCGTCCATCTTGTTTTTGAAAGCATAAGCACTTTTTAGCGTATTGAATAAACGTTGTAGTGTTCACACATGTATTCAAGTTTAATTTTATTCAATAATAAAAGTTACATACATAATGATACGTTTAACCCCGAAGAAATAGGCAGAGGTGATCACTTTTCACTATTAATGTTGAGTCCCATGTAATAGAAGTGGAAAACAGTAAAACGTTTTATTTAGAACAAAAATAATCGTGTTTTTTTTAAACCGGGAACATTATCGAATGACTGACACTCTCTCCCGCCTGGGTGAGGCGGGAGAGAGTATCAGACTCTTACTGACTAAAAACCACCCCGTTCCTTCTCCTGCACGTCGAGCCGGAGCCCCGGTAACCCGTTAGGTTCTCCGCGACGGGTTGACAGTATAGGATTTTAACAAATTAATGTTACCAACAATTAATAAAGGAACTTACTCAAATATTGTATACGAAAGTTTCAAACTGTCCAATGCGTAGGTACTATTACCTAACCAATCTTAATTTACCAAATTAACAAAACAACCAACGTCTATTCAATAAACAATTAAGTTAAAATAAATAAACAATCCTGTCAATTAACTTATGATAAGAAAATTATTCTGATTCGAAAAGCATTTAAAGGATGACTGGCAGAGAATGCTGTTAGCATTAAGCCCTCCTTATGCAATTGGGTACCTGCCATTTAGTCAAATTCGATACTTTTTTCGAACTGTCAAAGACGACAATTTTCTATGAATTTTGTACGAGATTGTGTATTGTAACGTCACGATTTTTTAACGTCAAACAGCATACTTATTTCAAAAATACTGAAATAATACTAAAATTAACTTGGTCATAAAATCAATTAATGAGAGTGTGTTTATTTTTCAATATTTTATTGTATTGAACAGTAGAAATAATTAATTTTTAAATAAAGAAAGTACTCAATTGTGTAAAAGTTAAATTAAATAAATATTCGTATCTGTATCATGATATTCTAGCCTTTTAAAACACATCAAACTGCTTATTTATCTCAACGATGTATTTAACCCATTATACAATACAATAATCCTTCAGTAAACTTAACTGTCAACAATATAAATATACCTAATATAATATTTAAAATACCTACACATAAATCATGATTACATGTTCACCACGACAAGAATAGTTAACGAAAATATGGCCAGAGAATAACAACACCCAGGTACAACTTTATACTTGCATCATAAATCATATCTTTTTATTCGAGACACATTAAAAAAGGTTTGTGAACCCCGACATGTACGCAGGACAAAAGAATAATAGAGACGCTAGCGAGCTACATCGGAAATAGATTAAGTTTTATTCGGTAATATTTATTTATTTGTAGAATTTTCATTGATTGAAATATCATAACAAATTACCACAAATTATCAAAAAATTTTTTAACTAAATGTAAGATTAATAATCGGATCAGTCTTAACAAAATGCCCTTAATAAACCGAAATATAATAACGAATCTCACACCAAAATCATTGAACTAAGATCGATTTTTTACATTTTATGGAGTTTCTGTCAAACAGAGACATCGATCTAAAGATTTTGAAATAAGATTAATCATTTACTGAATACGGTCTTGAAAGCAGGCGTCTATTTCCAATGCAACTCTTGGTTTGAGCTAAAAAAAGGTCGGTTCGTGCTAGACTGCAGGGAGCCCTATACCGCCAGGGCTGAGCAGCGTTCAAGGCACGTATGGAAATAACAATGGCCGCTCATATAACACTGTTACATCCGTATTCAAAGTACAGAAGACATTTAGGCGTCTAAGCCCGCTACAATGTAACACGAACTGAATAATAATTGTTCAAGCGCTAAAAACATTTCTCACACATTTTAATGTTGGTTAGCTGTTACTTTTTTGTTATAACCGTTAATTCGGATTGGTTTTGATTTAAATTAACAATATAAAAATGGTCAGATGAACATATATATCTACATAGTTGTAAATTAAATATTCAGTCAGTCAATAAGACTAAAAAGGTTAACAAGAGAAAAGATCTATTATTTTTAAATTTTCGTAAAAAAATCTCTTTAGCGCTCAAATCAACTCTATAACTTTACTGCGAGCAATCGCTATGCAAATAAATTACAGAAGGACAATTGCGGTTGGCATATAAACAAATGAAGGCCTACCTTCGTCTATTTTCCGTGAGGCCTCGTCCACGTCACTGCCTGCGTAATTCAGGATGACCAGGACCAAAGGCATCATCTCCCAGGAATAGTGGAATTTCTCAAGCAGCTTGTTACAGTTGTCCACCAAATTTTCTAAGGAAACCGCTGTGGAAGAAAAAAATATTATGTTTAGTGTTTTGGGTCTTGTAAAAACCGACTAAGGAGACAGAGGGGGCAGCAGTGTTCTCTGATGAACGTAACTGCGCTCCTTAACTCGAGTATCTGCCTGTCAATAGTGCAAATTATGGCAAAACCCTCTTTTGTCGAAGAGGCCCATAATAGACTTCTAAACGCTGTTAATGAGTGCTTTTTACACATGCATAACACGCCTTTTATCCCCAACGGGATAGGTAGATGTCCACATTACGGCACTTAATGCCACTGTACAATATAACACCCACTTTCCACCATTTATGTTATGAGTCCCATGTGGGTTGAGTCTATTGCCATATATACGTACCGGGCACAATTCCAGACTCAGTGCCACTAATGAGATTTTTTTAAAATCCCAGAAATACTTTGCCCGACCCGGGAATCGAACCCGAGACTTTGTCGAGTGGCACTTACGATAGACAACTCGGCCAATGAAAGTCTTTGCTGTGCTTTTTACTCTAATAAAAAATCAAAATGGGCCAAAATAATTGAACGGTAAAATCTAATCAACCATCTTGACAGTGAGCGACACCGGTGGTCGGAATCGAACACCTTCTAAACAAAATTAAAGTACCGTGCGACCACTTGATATATTTCTGAGTATTGAACATACAAACCACAGTACTAGTGTTGAATGACCATTGTTTGTTTACTTGCATACCCACGTAATGATACGATGACATGCTACATAAATAAATGAACTTCTTAAACAGAACTGAAGAGCCGAACAATTCATAGAAATCATTGTCCTGCATCTTTTATTTAGACTGACATTAATATTAAAGCAAAGTGTACTTAAGTGTTAAGTATTAAGGTACGATTTCGTTTATTCGTTATTTCCAGAAGGTTCGAAAGAGTTGTAGGTATTATTTCCAAGTACGGAATGTTAATTGATCCTCAATTTTTCAGGATCATCATTATAATCAATAGCCTATAAGTGGCCACTGCTGAGCAAAGCCCTCTTCTCGTACGAAGAAGGTTTGAGCATTAAACTGTCAAACACCAAGCGGTCACCGGTGACCGCAACCTATTGTTCTATAATTGTGTCTACAAAACCGGTACTCGACGAGTTAATCACCACTCTTGCTCAATGCGGGCTGACGATTTCAAAGTGATAATTAGAAATTATAAGCCCAGTTTCCTTATGATGTTTTTCTTCACCGTTTGCCAATGGTGTCTAGATAATCTTAGAAAGTACATAGAACTTGAAAAACGTCACATTGGCACTGGCTTGGTAGGTTTCGAAACAGCACTCCGCACTCTCATGCATGAGAAGCGGGCGTCTTAAACCCCCGGGCCACTACGAGAACTATGAATTTTTCAGAATGTTTGTCAAATATTAGTATATGTACCTAATACTCTAGATAAGTCACCGCCGTAGTTAAGTCATAAGTAAACTTATCTAATGAAAATTATCACTAATCGTACCTAGACAGACTTAAAACCTACATCTATAAGTCTTTTTCGTCTTCATTCCGTTTGAATAGTTACCTACATAAGTAATTTTTTTATGAACTACGTTTAAAAAACCCGACTTCAACCTTCTCTTTTTTTGAAGTAATTAATAATATAGGTACTAAAACCTTCTCCTAAATCTGATAAACACTTCTCTGAAAACCGCATCAAAATCGGTTCAGCCAATCGTGAGATAATCGCGCCCAAACATACATACATACATACATACAGGTCAAACTCAGAACCTTCTTCTTTTATGGAAGCCGGTTAAAAATATTATAGGGTTAAAAATATTAAACGCAGTGGGCATTTAATTAAACGTAAAATACAATTAGGCTACGCATTGACCGATTTTAAGATACCATAATAATCTAAGTCAGAAGACAGAACATCAAAAAGTAAATGGAGAAGCATTAACGATTCTCTTTTGATGTCTCTATTTATATAACTATCTAAAGTTACGGCAATTTTGAATTTATATCAATTGCAAATGGTTTCTTCTACGAAGAAGGTGTTAATAAATGTATTCAAACGCAATACTCATAACTCAATTCTAACTACATTTCATAAAAGTCGTTTAACACAGTAAATCAAAGGTTTTTATTAAATAATATATTACACAAGGAGACTTAACAACGCAATAAATCTGAATCCAGTAACGCCGGAACTAAGGAGCGTATTAAAAAAATAACAATCAAAATGGCGTACATTTATCGCCGAGACAAACTTGAGAGAATGTCAATCGACACCAATGAGACTATCGACTGACCATAAACAAGGATTAAGAATATCGTAGCGGTACGTCACTAGTGGCCATAAAGTTGGATGTCAGAAGGTCGCGCATCATACAGACACTTCGTTTTTATGACTTCCCTTTGTGCTGACAGCTCCGTCGACTATAAAAAACCCATTCAGAGGTGTAGAGACACTTGGGCACACGTCGTCATGGCTTTAGCCTCCAACTGGAATAGTGTTGTAATGTTCGCCGGCGTGTAAAATAGACATATTGCTACTTAGGTACAGCCTTATTCCGTATTGTGTCGATCGCTACTACATTTCGCTATGGGTTTTAACTTGGCCAAGTGGCCTTGTTTTGCTATACTTCTTCAGAGATCTTATGGTTTTAAAACTTCGTTTAATGGACTGTTTAAACTGATTTTTGCAATGAATAAGGTAGAATGTAGTGTTGTAAAATAATTCAGATACTTTACACAAAATCTGCCCTCTTTTAATGCATCCGAAAACATATTCATTTCTCGTCGAGTACCGTCATTATAAACACAATTATAGAACAATAGGTTGCGGTCACCGGTGACCGCTTGGTGTTTGACAGTTTAAGATGTGAACATAATTACGATAGTGTTGAATTCTATATAAGGCATCTATAAAATACAATTTCAGGCTTCAATTTGACTTACAGTGATGTATGATATCTTTTCGTGATACGAATTTTAACTGCATAATGGGTGCAAAAGATCGAAACACCGGTTGTTGAACAACGTATCATTAATTCTTTGAATTCTTTGAAGATTCACAAATTATCTTTGTAATTTGTAATTACAAACGTTATTTTTCATATTGAACAAGTAATTTCTATCAAAACGGTTGTCGCAGAGGAACCTATATACTATATACTAAGATAGTTACGACTGCGACTAGGTACTTACAGTGGCAGTGACGCAATGCGGACCTCACTTTACGTTGGGTTTACGACACTATCGCGTTGTGCGGAACCAATTCCAGAAGGACCTGATGAAAAACCGTTCACCGGATTGAAACAGAAGCGTCTTTGTTTTTGCAGAACTAATAACTAATAGAAGAAGTAGAAGATATCCTGCAGATTTCGTCAGTGTCGAATAAAGGACAGCATATTAAATAGAGAGTAGCTAGACTGTTGAGGACGCGAAAGAGTGTATGTAAGAATCGTAGCAATTCGCGTTTCATAGTTCCTGGTAGTGGGCCTGAGAGGTCATGTATGTATGTATGTATGTATTAATGGCTGGGTAGCAGAGCATTCTCTGATAAACCTGATCCTTTTTAACTGTGATTTCTCCATTTGCCAAGCGTGGATATATGGCAAATCCCTCTTTTATAGAAACCCACATTTTCTCAGCACTCTCGGGCTGTTAGTGATGATAATTATTGGGATAGATGTGTTCTCAAATAGAGACCATGCTCTGGACTTATGCTTCTTCAACTTGGTGTATGTGTAACTGGGACTCCGGTAACCTCACTCACACGACGAAGGATAACGCAAACGTTGTTGCACGTCGGTTTTCTGTGAAGCCATGGTATCACACTGGAGCCGGCCTATTCGAGCCGATTGAGCCGAAGCATGGTTCACCCACACTTATTGTCACTTACACACATTGACACAAGAAAATCTGTTATTTTCTTGAGTCTGGTAATGTGGTAACCCATTTACACACGCACACATAAATTACCCGCAGACATTTTGGTGCTTCAATCATTTCTTAGATACATTATGTCGGCCTTTTTTACAACGTCCTTGGAGACGGACATTGGGTAGATACCGTGCAAAGGTTTCTGTTAAACTGGATCATTGTAAGACTGTGCTCTTTGAGCGTGGACCATGGTGTAGATACCGATACAACCTTTAAACCTTCAAGAAAAGAGCGTATTCTTTTTTAAGAGGCCGGCAATGCACCCGTGACTCCTCTGGTGTTGCGGGTGTCCATGAGCGGCGCTAATCGCTTACCATCAGGTGATCCGTCTGCTCGTTTCCCTCCTATTCCATAACAAAAGATGGCATTGGTTATGGCAAGTGCTGATGTAGAGGAGACCATTAGTCCAGCAATGGAGTTATAACGAGTTAAAAGCGTCGAAGAAGGAAACTATTGTGAAATTGACAAATTGTTTAACGATTTACCTTTTGTGAAAATCGTGGACATATTTTGACAGTTGTGTGACATATTTAATTAGGTTATTAACTCAATTTTTTTTAACAATAGTTATAATAAACCAAATCTTGACCTGTTGCGTAGATTTTTGTTTGTGCGAAACCTTTATTTATTGGTTTTTAGTTTTCTTTAAGACGATGAATAGTACAAACGTCTTTTGTTTTTGTAAAAGTTCAATGGTCGAAATCTATTATGAAAATATAATGATGAGTTTATTGATGAAAGTGATATCATAGATGAATAAAGATATTGGGTAAATACAATATTGTTTATTTGAACTCTTGTTAAGACTTGATACATGATTTCGTGCGTAATATTCATAAGGGCCAATTTTTCAATGCAGAAAATAAAAAAACAATGACAAGATACCTATCTAAACTTTAACGAACTTGAAACTGTAGTACTTATGTTGTGATTAATTCACAATATACCTAAGTACTACGGTAAACGGTTGATAGCCTTCTATAGCTTGTCAAATAAAAGTTCAGACAGCAGGCTATGACGAGTTTATAGCCGATGTCAAAGATACAACACTATCCGTAACTAAAATATCGAATTGAATTTTATAATACGACC